AAATGGCAAAAAAATTGGATGTAATTTCATTTAAATTGTCATGGCTTTTTGAACATATGAGTGTTTGTTCTTTGTCAGCAGTGGGCTATATGACATAGAAAAGGGAATCAGGTGTGTTCCCTACCTAAAAAGGAAAGTACCAGACAGCAAAGGATAGCTGAAGACAGTGACGAGTAGTAACGTTTTAAGCATTTACTGCTAGTCAGGCACTAATGCTAGGGATCTTATTTGCATTATCCAGTGGCATGAAACCCTGTGAGTTCAACATTACCATGCCAGAGAGGTATGGGACTTGCCCGATGTCATACAGCTAGAAAATGCTAGAGCCCAAGATCTTAACTCCGGTCTGTCTGACTCCCAAGCCCTTACCCTAACTACTGTGCAGACTGCTCTCCCACAAATAAGAGCGCCAAGCATCAGAAGCCCTCATCTTTCCAATGGAGTAAAGTGGCAAGGAAGCCCTTTTGAAGTGTCAGTCAGAACAAATTTTCAGAAACAGGTAGTGTTAAGACTCTGTTTATAACGTGTAATAGTATTTTATAGGTTATTTTAAGGGTGTAGTTTTCCGGTCTCCAGGGGACAACCCATCTATAAGCTTCTGCCCAAGCTGGGATTATTTGTCAGCGATGCTATTTGAAAATGTTTCCATTCTATCATTTTGCTGAACACGGATTTAGTAAACCACAACAATTTAGTACGATGGTGTGATTAGCAAAGCCTCGAGTTTGGTTCCTGCATGTCCTTCAGTGATTTGGCTTTCGGGTGCGTAATGCAAAAGGAGAGGATTATTAGCAAAACCACTTTTGCCCTTGGAAAGTGAAATGTCTTCTTTTCTACCTCGTCTTTCTTTGGATGTGGAAATGGGGCTGAGTACCTTCTGAGGGACATCTGGAGTTTGGTTTGAGGTTCTGCTGGACATACCTTTATTAGTTCTGTATAATAAAACCATCTCAGGGCAGGCTTCCATGAAGGACCAGTAAAATATTAAAATCGAGGGGGAAAAAATGATCTGAATATTTTAGTAGGTGGCTCATCTCTTAACTTACAAGTTTCTAGAGAAGACATACAGAGCCCTTACTCTTTATTTCCCCCTGTGAATATGGTGACAGGCCTTGCATGGGAGGTATTCAGTACATTTTTTTTTGTATTATTATTGCCATATCATTAAAGTTCCTTCATTTTTACCAAGCCATCTTCCAGAAGAATCCTCTAAAAAAAGTAGAGCTTTCCTATTTTAATCTCTCAGAAGCTTCACATTTTTAAAAACTAGGACAAACAGATACATTGTTTTGTAGTTTAGTAAATAAAGCATAAATAAATAAATAGTATTTTCAGAGTAATACCAGTACCTTATGGGCCTGCCTTTAAATGATTGCTATCTTTTTCTTACTGAGATCATTGAATAAAACTTAAGAAGGGCTAAGACTGGGAGGAGTGATTAGATCCTAAAGTGTATCCTAGTGTAGAAAATTGTGGTTTAGAGATCTCCTGTTAGATCTAATTGTCTGAAGCACATGGCATTTACTATATATTAAATAGCTATTTAACTTATATAGCATCGTTTCTGAAGAAAACAACACCAATAACAATGGCTCCCATTTATTGATTATTTACTACGTGCTGGACATTATGTTAGGTGCCTCACATTGTTTATCTCAATTCTTGTAACAGTTCTATAAGATGGGTAGATTTTACCTGTGAACAAATAAAGCTACTTAACTCAAACGTTGAAGTGACTTTCCCAGCGTGCGTGGTGTCAGAGTCAAGATTTGAGCCCCGTTTAATACAACTCCACAGCCCACGCCCTGTATTATAAAGAGAGAAATGAACATAATTTGTATTCATACTCCTACAAATGCACATTTGTTCTTGGAAGAGCAGGCTGTTATTCCACTCTGTAAAGCCATTGTAATGCAGACACGTCGTGTGTGATTCTTACCAGTCCAGAGGAAACGCAGGGAAGCAGAAGGATGCAGAGGAGATGAGCGTGTACTTAGCAGAACGCTGCAGGGTCTGACTGCCGCTTCAGAGCAGCTGGACACTCATAAGCCTCGGTCACACACACGGACCTTGCAAAGGTTGTCTTTGCTAATAGAGTACTTCATTTCTTTGCCTGACCTTGCCATCATGCTCCCCTCTCAGCCCCCAATTAAGCTGCCATTGGTAGAGGGTTTATAACGTGTGCCTGGTTTGTTCAAGAGACAATGACAGAGGTGTAGCTGAAAAGCTGGACAATGAAGAATAGAGATCGTTCCCATTTCTCTTCAAATTCGGGGGCAGCAAAACCATAGCTGACCCCCGGGACAGACCAAGATGGTCCAACTAGATGCTTATTCCAGATACTAAGTGCCTAGTACTGTTTTCAGAAGGGACGTTTCCTCCAACTGACCAAGATGCCCACAGTTTTTCCGCATGATGGGAACCCCCACCAAACCTTGGGAAACAATTGTGGTGTTAGTCGGTGTAATGTTCCAGGAGAGAATCTGTATTTTATTCTTCCTTCAGGCTTCTAAACAATATAGTAAATTTTATAAATGAAGATTTTTTTTTTTTTTTCTCATTAAACTTTTGTTTTAATGGGTCTCAAAATTCTGTGACAGATTTTTGGTCAAGTTGTTTCCATTAAAAAGTACTGATTTTAAAAACTAATAACTTAAAACTGCCACACACACCCAAAAAAACAAATGGTCCACAAAACATTCTCCTTTCCTTCTGAAGGTTTTACGATGCATTGTTATCATTAACCAGTCTTTTACTATTAAACTTAAATGGCCAATTGACACAAACAGTTCTGAGACCGTTCTTCCACCACTGATTAAGACTGGGGTGGCAGGTATTGGGGATAATATTCATTTAGCCTTCTGAGCTTTCTGGGCAGACTTGGTGACCTTGCCAGCTCCAGCTGCCTTCTTGTCCACTGCTTTGATGACACCCACAGCAACTGTCTGTCTCATGTCACGAACAGCAAAACGGCCCAGAGGAGGATAGTCAGAGAAGCTCTCAACACACATAGGCTTGCCAGGAACCATATCAACAATGGCAGCGTCACCAGATTTCAAGAACTTGGGACCATCTTCCAGCTTTTTTCCAGAACGACGATCTATTTTCTCCTTCAGCTCAGCAAACTTGCAAGCAATGTGAGCTGTGTGACAATCCAGCACAGGTGCATATCCAGCACTAATTTGGCCTGGATGGTTCAGGATAATCACCTGAGCTGTGAAGCCAGCTGCTTCCATTGGTGGGTCATTTTTGCTGTCACCAGCCACATTGCCACGACGAACATCTTTGACAGATACATTCTTGACATTGAAGCCCACATTGTCCCCAGGAAGAGCCTCACTCAAAGCTTCATGATGCATTTCAACAGACTTGACTTCAGTTGTAACATTGACTGGAGCAAAGGTGACCACCATGCCAGGTTTAAGAACACCAGTCTCCACTCGGCCCACAGGGACAGTACCAATACCACCAATTTTGTAGACGTCCTGGAGAGGCAGACGCAAGGGCTTGTCAGTTGGACGAGTTGGTGGCAGAATGCAATCCAGAGCTTCAAGCAGTGTGGTTCCACTGGCATTCCCATCTTTACGGGTGACTTTCCATCCCTTGAACCAAGGCATGTTAGCACTTGGCTCCAGCATGTTGTCACCATTCCAACCAGAAATTGGCACAAATGCTACTGTGTCGGGGTTGTAGCCAATTTTCTTAATGTAGGTGCTGACTTCCTTAACGATTTCCTCGTATCTCTTCTGGCTGTAGGGTGGCTCAGTGGAATCCATTTTGTTAACACCAACAATTAGTTGTTTTACACCCAGTGTGTAAGCCAGAAGGGCATGCTCACGGGTCTGCCCATTCTTGGAGATACCGGCTTCAAATTCACCAACACCAGCAGCAACAATCAGGACAGCACAGTCAGCCTGAGATGTGCCTGTAATCATGTTTTTGATAAAGTCTCTGTGTCCTGGAGCATCAATGATGGTCACATAATACTTGCTGGTCTCGAATTTCCACAGGGAGATATCAATGGTGATACCACGTTCACGTTCAGCTTTCAGTTTATCCAAGACCCAGGCATACTTGAAGGAGCCTTTTCCCATCTCAGCAGCCTCCTTCTCGAATTTTTCAATAGTTCTTTTGTCGATCCCACCACATTTGTAGATCAGATGACCAGTAGTGGTAGACTTGCCCGAATCTACGTGTCCGATGACAACAATGTTGATATGAGTCTTTTCCTTCCCCATTCTGGCTTAGGTTGAGCAGTGGTTTTCACGACACCTGTGTTCTGGCGGCAAACCCATTGCGAAAAAGTATAAATGAAGATTTTTAAGGGAAAGAATAGTTTCTTGACTGAATCAGATGTCACAGTGTGGCAGTGAATCATAGGAATTTTCGGTGTTATGAACCATATTTTGAATAGGTAGGATTATATTAATTTGTGTTTTAAATGCATAATGAGACTGGAATGTTTTTGTTGGAGTTCAACGAATCTGTAAGAAGAGGGTTGTTCCTTTACAGAGGAATCTTATTACACTTCCACAAATTTGGAAATAAAACTCTGACTTGGAGTTAATATGGAAGAAGCCACAGGCATCCCAGTTTCAGATTACTGGTTTTATTTAGCACTAGCAATATCTTGGGCTGTGGATATAATCCTAATATTTGAAGCTTGATCAAATACGTTCAGATGCATCTTAATTCTCTGGTTAGCCTTCTGTTATTTAGCTAACACCTCTCAGACCCAATTTACTCAGCACTTAGAAGGATCCAATTAGTGGTTTAAGCTCCAAAAGAAGCCTGTTTCCTCTTTTCTGTGTTTTGAATGACCTGTAGGTTTTGCCAGATATTTTGCCCCGCAGATGAAACTGATGAAAGTCAGAACTGGGGTTTTCCTACCTGTGCTTATCAGTCCTCCCCTGAACCACAGTCTGTTCTTTCGAGAGCTCTAATAATTAATTTGGTCCCTTTCTTCTCCCTTCCCCCACCTTCTCCCTGTCTGTTCACAGGTTATCTTGACGAATCAAATTACTACGCATCTAAGCGGAGCTCTAGCTTCTCAGGCAGACCTGGTGTCTCCAGCTGATGATTTGTCCCTGTCTGAAGGTAAGGGATCTGTCCTAGAGGGGCAGAAACTTGACACTGACGTATAGCCCCACCGCCTCTCCTCTCTGCCTTTCTGCCCCCTGTGGCACTGGGAGACTGGGCTGAGGGGCCCTGGCCAGTGAACCCAGCCGGAGCCTGGCGATTCAGGCTTAGCCAACCTCCCCGGCATCTGATTCCCTGCATTCGGAGAGGCTCATGCCCCGTCTCTATAGGCCAGCTTCCTTTTTCATCCGAGTGCGTCACCCTCACAGACATCTGTAACCTCCACCTTGAAGACTGTCACACCTCCATACGTTGATTTTGGGTCCTTAGTATAAGGCCAACTGCTAAGTGACTTGATTTTTGAGACTGATGCTCACAGGTTGCTTTACTGGTGTTTGCATAGGAGTTCAGCCTTTTGTCTATGCTGAGTGCTTTAAGACTGGCTAAAAATGTACACCATTGTCATGTGCTGGAGACGTGACGTTCCTGACCAGCATTACAGAAGGGTTAAGAGAAACTCTCTACGTTGGTAAATCAGCAAAATTTTCTCCACCCTCCCATGCTAGCAAAGGTCAGGCTGGCTATGGTTTACGTAGCTAGGGGAATTACACCACCGCGCCAGTGGGTGGTTTCGAGCTTTATTCAAAGTTCTTATGTGACATTTCTGAGTTCTGCTGGCTGTGGGTTGGATACACATGCATAGCTGTGACAGACCCCTCTGCACTTCCATTTTCTGAGAAGTGTTCATGAGGGAGCAGATGGCATTTTGTAGGCTTGTAAGGCTCCTGACCGCCCAGGTGGTCTTCTGTGGACTGGCCGCAGTCTGTGGACTCAAAAATTGGAAGGGCCACAGCCCTGCTTCTTGGGGGTGTTTTTCAGAGTGAGAAACTACTTATTTATAAAAACTGTAAAATGCTCTGTGTCCCCTATTTCCACATTTAGTGTTATATGATCCCTCCCTGTCATCACCTGGACTAAAAACCCAAATCATTTACTCTTCCTCCCTCCCTGAATTCCTCTCCTCTAGTCTTCTTGGTTCTTCTTTCCAAATGTATTCTTCCTCTGCCCCCTCTTCTTTATAATTAAAAAAAAAAAAAAAGTCTGGATAATACAAATTTTTTAAAGTAGGCTCTGTGCCCAGTGTAGGGCTTGCACTCATGACTCTGAGATCAAGAGTGGCCTGCTCCACCAATGGAGCCAGCCTTTGTATTGTGATCAGCTGACTTATTAAACTCACAGTTGGATTATTTATATGAATTCCAAAATGGCCCTCCCAACTCCAGCCTCTACCATCTCCGTTCTGCCACTACAAATGAAACTCTCCCAATCTGGCTTAGTTTTACCATGTCACTCTCCTACCCAGAAGTCTGGAAACTGTATCAGCCCATTTTCTGAGAATGGGCTAGAACTCAATTTTAAAATATTCAGGAATTTGTGGTTTGTCAGCCTGAAATCAGCCAGGGTAGAAGTATTTACACCATGGGAATCTGCACATGCTAAAAATCAGGATTTGGGGTTTTTTTTTGCTTTCTTTTCTTTTGTGTGGATTAGTTTCCAAAACACCACTAGATACGGTGCTTCCTCACTCTCACAGTCTGCCCTGTCCTTCCCATTCCCCGTGGTTCTTGCCAGTGCCTTCCAGGAAGCTCCCACATCAAGCACGCTGACTTTCTGCCTGCTCCTCCCCATCCCTGCCCCTAGCCGCTGCAGGGACAGCTCGTCCTATCTAGAATAGCATTTCCCTTTTTTACTTCTACCGCTTCCTCTCTTCCCAAATCCTCCGACTCAGTCAAAGTTTATTTAAAGACCACCTCTTCCCACAAAACCTCCTTGTTTGTTCCAGTCTGCACTGGTCTCACTCCCTCTTCCTCCTTTGTGGTCCTTCTACCTGCTCTGCTTTATAGAGAAAAGGTCCAGGAAAATTAATTTAACTTTTCATGGTTTCCTGACTAGATTGGCAGATTTTTTAAGGGCACGGGCCACCTTGGATTCTTTTTGTATCCTGAGTGACTAGCTAGTTCTAGGCACATAATAGGCAGTAAATAAATGCTAAATGGGTACCATAGTAAATACTTTGTAAATAGGAACCATGAGATTCACATAAAGCACCTCATTAAAAATTGTTGTAATTATTTCACACACACACACACATACACACACATTTATTCAGGTTTGAGGAGGAAAAAAATATCTTGTTTCTTTATTTAAAAACCAAAAAATAGCAGCATTTTGTTTTGTCTTGGCTTCCTGGTTTATCTCAAGCAAAGAAGGGGAACAGGACAGATACAGAGGTAATTGTTTGGGGGCTCTGTGTAACCGCTTGCAGAAAATGATAAAGGTGTTCTCATGACAAGGGGAGACTTACCAGCTCATCCTTAGACAACTTTTTAAAAATTATGAAATCCTAGGGAGAATGGAAACAATTGATTTTTCTAGATCTTTCCTTTGCATAGCTGAGCAGGTAAAGAGGCTATAGAAATATTTTTCCTGAAGTCTATAATGAAGTTCCTTACCAGTGAACTAAAACGGACAATTTTCTTAAAGCATTTATACCTATCCAAATACATTGCAATGGTTGTTAATACCACTGTGGTTAATAGGTATCAGTTACTTTGGTGTTTCTGGGATCCATTGTACCAACTTTGCTTTGGTGTTATTAGCCCTGTGACCTTGGGCAGGTCTTTCCGTGACTTTGGGCCTCAGGATAGAAATACAAAATTGCCTAAGTCTTTTCTAGCTCTCCCATCTGAAGATCAGGAGCATTGACTTGTTGACGGGTCTTAGAATTCTCTTATGGAGTGGGCAGAATGGCCTTCTATTTCCTAGGCTACGCTTGATAGAAAGGGTCTACAGGAATCTTAGCAGTGATACTTTAGCATATCTGGAAGAGCCTCCTCACCCCACATTACCATCTCCTCACTCTGCAAGCCATTCTGGTCTCGTCCGTCTGTCTCTCGCGCTCTCTGCTCTCTCCCGCACGGACGTGTACACAAGAAGACGCATGCGCAAACCAGTGAGAGTGAGAAACACTGGAGAGGTGAGCTCCAGGTCCACCCTGTCGTGTAATAGAGTTCAGCCGCAGAGCAGAGGGCACAGCTTCAACAGTGCTCCCTTGAAAACAGTTGTGGGGTGAGAACAAGCAGCCAAGAGCAGCCAGCAATAAAATGATCTGAGTTGACCTAAGGGAAATACCCAGCAGGGGCCAATTCAGGGAGATGAAGTCCCTTCTGCTCTGATGCAGAGCCGGGAATATAAGTGACCTGGCCCAGCGGAGAGATCTCTTCCACCCCAGCGGATCCTGTACTATTAATATCTGCCAGCTGCAGGCCCAGAGCATCCCCCTGCTGAGATCAAAAGAGCCCCTATCTTAGCTGGAACAAGGTCATCTTCACAGAGCTGTAAAAGCTGAGCCCTGGCTGGCTGCAGGAACCTCTATGGGGGAGGAGAAGTCAGGAGATGGGGAGGTGCTCTCTCACGCTCCTTTAATCTCAGCTGACCAGCTGTTGCCCTCCCAGTGTCTGTAAAGTTGAGAGTTCTTTGTTTTTGTGTTGCTAGTTTTTTGGGTCCCCCCCCCCTTATTAAGCTTACGACTGGGTTGTTGCTTGGATGATGTAGACCATGTTCACTGCTTGGGTCCATGGTATGATTCCCTTCATTGGAGTTTCATCCACTGTTGGATTATCCAGCTCCCAGGTAGGAGAGCCAAAGAAGAGAAGAGTGGACCAGAGGTCAAGGACTTTCTCCACATCATTCCTGCCCTGTAGTTTTGTGCCCAGAGAAAGAATGAGGGCAAATTGAATTTTTTTTCTATTTAACTGAAATAACTTCCCTTAGGTGCAGTGTGCTTGTCAGTTTTCAGCCTGCCTCTCACAAACATTTCATTCAGTGGGGAGAATGGAACCTTCAAGACTTACGCAAACTGACCAAAATTCACTGCCCTGTGAACCTAAGGGCAGAAATCCAGATTTCTGGTTTTAGAATCTACATTGTTCTTGACCAGGCACTGTGAATCAAAGTATTTTCTTCTTTAGTTTTTTGTTTTGTTGACAGAAACTCAGGCAACTAGATTATTACAAAGTTGAGTGACTGATTATTGACTAGGTTACTGTGACTGTTCTGTGGCCAAGGACATGTTTCTTAGATGCCCTTGCCAATTCTTCCTGGTGGTCATCAAAAATACTAAGGATGACTGGATCTCTCTCCTAGGGAATATCTCTGTTCCCCATAATGATCAGTAGAGAAAGGATCTAACAGTCCAGCTGGCCTATGACTCCATACCTTGTTCTGAAGTCACCTGTGATTTGGGCAGAAGGACCGGCTGGGCTCCTGTCCACACAAGCACATTTGGTAGATGAGGTTGACGTATGGCGACAGTGGGCCCTGTGCAAGATTGAAGCTCTGCTCAACCCACACCGTCGGCTTTCTCTCCTCTGATGATTTAATGGGATAGCAGTCACTTCAGTGTGGTGACGTGGCCCGTTTCAGGAGCCCCAGATGGCTTCATGGAAAGGACGACATTATTAGGCTCCCATCCTGGCATTTCCAGCATCTGGCATGTTGGTATCCTTTTATCTGCATTAATAGTTTTTGATAGATAATAGCACTCAAGAACTAAAACTTGAAAGTGCGTGGATGGGTAAAGGAAAGAACACAAGAGAAAAAGCAGTACTCATTAGAACCAAGAGTGCTTTCTAGTTTTAGTAGTAGAAGCCTTTCTGTTCCAGTTGAATTGATGGCTGATTTCATGTGCAAGAGAAAGTATTTTGGGATTCATACTCCTTAACAAACCATCCCTGTAAAAAGCTGGAGTCCATTTGAAAGATTATATGCCCATGCATGGCTTGTGTCTCTTCTAAAATAAATTCAACAAGCAAGAGCAGCTCGGAACGGTTGGGGCAAATCAGGGACTCATGGTTGTGAAAGAAGCAGACTTCAAAGCATGGTATGAATTTTCAAGTTTTATTTCCACTCTTGCTTTCCAGCTGGATCTGCTCTGGATTTACTGCAGGATGTTTGAA